CTCCTACTTTAAAGTAATCAACAGAATAATAGCGTAAGTCATAGGTCAATCATTCCAATGGATAATAAACAAATAAATAATATTCAACATACAATTTCAGAAAGCTCTGTTTCTAGTTACTCAACAAGTGATCGAAGTCTAACACATAATTTTATCACATGCCAGAAAGATACAGTTGTTCGTCCTGACAAGTCACTCACAGTGCTGTAGATAACATAATAACTTGATTCATCTACAAAAGAATATATTGAGCTAGATGTTGTTTTGTAGAAGATTTACTATTTGATTATTAAAAACAACATACATAGAGATATCTTCTAGAGAAATGCCAGCAACCATATTCATTACTATCATACTATCGTACTTATCTATAACGCCGAACTATTTAGAGAGGAATAAAAATGGTTATTTTCTGACGTTTTATCAGTGATGAAACTATTTCTATTTCTAGTTAATCATTTTATGAAAAAGATCGAAATAACATTATTTTTAGATATCTTCAGAAGGAAGTCTGAAGTTTTGATATTAATAACTGTGCTCTATTCTTTCATGTACAGTTTATCATGTTCTGATTTGTATTAAATCAAAAGTTGAGTTACATGTTACTAATAGATCATTTTTATTTCAAATGAATCGAATTTTTTTTCTCTGCTTCCTTATCAATCAGTGTTCTTAGTTTGAAAATAAAGATAACTCTCAAACGAATCGAATAAACGTCACATGTAGAGAAAAAATTGACGTGTGTTCATAGAGGGTGTGGGTGTGGGGGTGGGGGTGGGTATGGGTGTCTTACCTTCATATACACCCACACCCACCCACACACCCACACCCACCCCCACCCTTTTATCTACTACTAAGTAAGAAGATTATGTATGAGAAGTTCCGTAGATAATTTCCGCCATTATCTAAGAGAATAACGTGAGATCAAAACAAACTTTATGAGTAATACAACATTCATGCAAATAGAGCAACCTTCAGAAATAATTAGTTTAAATGTCCAGATTGGCGTCTGAAAACTAAAATGTCTAACTAAACGTTTTTGGGTAACGAATTTTTGAATTTCTTTCAAAAACCCAGTGCGGGTATAGGTGTGGGTGTGAGTGTGCGTTCTAAATGTGGATGTATCTCATAACCTACACACCCACACACCCTTTTTCATTGTCTAATCGGCGTCATCGTTAATATCTTTCAGAACTTTGATGGTGATGCCTGTTGTAAAGTCAGCATATTTCTTACATAATTCAAATATTATGGTCATGTGATCAGTTGGCTTCTTTTGATAATACAACTAAAAAAACTTTCATTTTTTTGTCCAAAAATTCCAAGGATTATAGATCACCACGTATGAAAAAAAAATCATTTTATTAATAGAATAAATGTTTAGGATGATACAATTAGGAACGTTTGTTTTATAAGAATAGCAATTCTTTGAATGTATCAATTATTGATCAATATTGTCGATTGATTAATTTAATTATTAGACTATCAATGAGGTCTGTTAGCTAGAACATCAGCGTAAGAACGTTTGTTAGAGTTTTCAGAGCAATTTCTCTATAAGAAGAAACCTTTAAAATGAAAAAATATGGAAAGAAAAGCAACTCTAACCTGATGAATATCAAGATTTTGTGTATTGGTAAACTCTGCGTCACAATACAGGCATCGAGCTCGTACAATGGAATTTTGATTGGCACGTCTTAAAACAAAATTTTGATGCTTATTAAGTTAAAAAGAACAGACTGACCGTTTTTGCTCTTCAAGACGCTGTTGCTGTTGACTGCAAGCTATCTGTTAAACGAGAATAAGAAGAAAATGTACTGTTAAACTTACTTGATGATTTTTTAACTCGTTTGATTCAATTGGTTTATTACAGAATTGACATGGAATATAAATAATATTATCATTCTTATTAGGTTGATTGAGTGATGATGAATCTATAGATTGAATGAAAATATAAAAATAAGTAACTCGGTGAATAAAATGAAAATGATCACAATTTTGCTTAGAATTTTCAGTGTCTCGTTTTTGCTGTCTCTTTTTGATATTCTCTGGATTGTAAAGACATTTTTCCTGCAAAGCAATATGACAATAATTGAATTTCTTAATGAGGAACATTTTTTTTTAATAAATTGGTTACTTTATGTATTTTATAGTCGTCTTGGGAACAATATTCAGTACAAAATTCACATTGGATATTTACTGGCATCCCTTGAGAAAAGAGTATTAAACATGTATGAAATGAACAAATGATTCTATCCTACTGGTTTGCTGTAACTTTTCAGAATTTTGATTGTCAGCTATCGTTGTTACATTTTGCTTCTCATTTATAGTATTTCCTGAGTTTGATCTTGAGTTATCAGAGGTGGTGAAATCATTATCAGAAGCACAATTATTTTCATAATGATAAGCAAAGATGGCTCGTCGAATGCGTTTCTTACAATTCGGACATGGATCTGTCTTATTGCCACATATTATCAAATGTTCTCCCAAAGCTGTTGATGAAGGGAAACGTTCAAGACAGAATGAACATGAAAATTGATTTGGACAGTTAGTTGTCTTCAGAGAAAAAATATTCAATAATAGTAAAGTAAGAACAACGTACCTAACATACATGATGATTTCGGAGAGTATCTTGATTTCTAAACGTTTTTTCACAAGTACAAGTCAATGATGAAGATGATGCTTCATTCATCTTTTATCTATAAGAAAAAAAAATTTGTTATATATGAAATTGCAAAAAAGAAAAATACAAGAAAAAATGTTATTAAATGTTTTAAATAATAGAATAATTAATAAATTAAATATGAGTAAAATTGTGAATCTATTATCGATAAATCTATTTATTATAGTACGCAGTTGAAACGTAATTATAACTGTGCGTTTTTATGTTGTTGAAAGTAATGTATTTAATCATAAATGTTTTATTCTCTTTCGTAGACATGAATAACAATATCATCGGTTACTCATAAAAAAAACGTGTCTTTTCTGCATTCTTTTTACAAAGCGACACATTATATTTATTTGCCTTCAAAACTATGTTAACGATACAGAAAAACAAACGAGTCTGTTTGCCTAACGAATAAAAGAGGGTTGATTTTTTTTTCATAAAACGTGTTCTGTTGGATAAATGTTGATGTGAAATGAAGACAATTTCTCAAGTATTTAGTTGCAGATTAATGAAATAACTACTGTACGTTATTGAAGACTTATGTACAAGGGCGGTAGAACTACCAAGGCTCTGAGGTTTGAGCCTCACCTAATGTTGGACTTGACATTCCATGAAAACACAATTTTTCAAACCCTCTTACGCAATTGTACAGGATGTTTTGAGCAAAGAAACATCTTGTCAATAATCGAGAGTGGTCATATAGCTTTAGCTGAAAGATAGGATTTTGGTATCGTATATACAGAGCCTAGATGTCTTGTTTGAAAAAAGTCGGCTTCAAACGACTGATTTCAACGAAAAAAATCTATAGTAATATCAACATTTTTTTGCTTCGCGAAAATTTAACAGCTGAATAAGTGCAATCAACACAAGAGATGTCTAGACGTTGTGTGGAGAACTTCATTTTGAAATAATCAGTACAAGCGTGACCGTCTTTGACGGAAGAAGTATTGAACCCTCACAGAATAGAAGCCCACTGAGCTTTTATTTTGTTTTGAAAGTTATAAATCTGGACATGGGTTTCTATTGCGATCAACTTTTCTCATGTTGCAGCTAGCATTTTACCAGCTTAGAAGCACAGAAGTGCTTAAAAATTTAAAATCGGACAAAGTAGTGCGTTGTCTACGCTAGGTTTCACATTAACATGTTCCTCTACCCTCAGCATTTCGTGGAACTTGCTATAGTACGAGTGTGGGTATAGGTGTGAGTCTTGCTCTGCTATCCATCCATATCCACACCCACACCCACCCTCAAATATGACACACAATCGATATTAATGAATATTTCACTTATTCAGCCGACATGCTTGCAAAAACGATAATAAAATGAAGAATAGCTTCATTCAGAAAATTAACTTTTTCTTCATAGCTATTTATATAAGCCATGATTCTTATTAAAGTTTGTCCTTTATTGTCTTGTATTAGACGGGCAATGAATCTTCTAGTATAGTGTGAAATAGGATGTGGTTTTTTGACTTATAAATATAGTTCTAACACAAGTAAATAGTATAATCATCTGTGTACATAGTCTAGAGTGTTGAAACGAATCTATGAATAAATAAATTTGAATATCATTTGTGCAAATATCAGTAAATGATAAAAATTTTCTTAATACAATGAATACATCTTTTCATTCTATATGATCACAGTTTTCTTGAAATATCTTGTTGATATGAAACCAAAAAATGCTATTCTACATCGGTTTCTTGAATAAAAAAATACTCAACATGGCATTATTTTGTGTAGAAATAGACGAAAAAAATGAATTCAATCACTGTCACATTGGTTCTAAAACACTATTATAATTTTTTTCTTCGAAAATTGAGATTATAACATTTCAAGTTCGCAATCAATGAATAGTTCCTTATCCGCACTATATAGTATAAATCATTAAGAATAAATCTTCGAAGACATATAATTTGAAGTATTTGCTGTAGGTTTTTCAAACAGATAAATTATCAAATTATTATAACGATTGAAGAACACTTTGATAATAGAAAAGTAATGATATAAAAGAAAACTATTATATTTGTATCATGCGAGTAAGTTTGTCAACTGATTCTTCCACTAACTTCGATAACAACAAGAGCTTTATTTTTTAAGGCATAATATAAGTACACAAGATGAAACTGTAGTATTATTGACCTAGATAGATAATAAAATTTCCGTATTTTGAACAATACAATTAATCATCGTGATCAGTATCTAAATATGTCGACATAGATATACTGTTCAGTCAAATAATTGATCATGTCTAATCAGCTTGAAAACATTCGAGAATATTTAGCATTTAGAAAAAAAATACTCTTTTCATTTTTTCTAGATCAAAATATTGAATTTCATGTTGAATCTGATCGTTCATCCTCATTAACTTCATCAATATTATTTACAATAATATCATAACCTAATCGAAGGTTGTCGAATAAACAAAATAGTGTCATTCAAAACTGGAAATAGATCACAGCCATTTTTTCACTAGATGTCTGTTTGATTCAGTGCCGTGTCGAAGTCCATAGTTGGAAGAAACATGATGACGATTAAAGTGATAAGATCAACAAAACTAGGACTGATACAACCGTTTATATGTTTTGAAGTTTTATTTTCAATATTAAATAGTATTTCATTTATATCGGTTTCACACATAAAGCATATTTTACTTGAAGCAACAATATCAAAACAAAAATATGACTGACAAAATATTTTCTCAATAATTCATCGATTCATGAAGAATGATTTTGCATTGTAACAGTGATACAAAAAGCGTCAAGCAAAAGTTAAATATTAGAGCAGCAGAGTGAAAGCGTGATTGTTAAAACATCGATGAAACCATTTCCACTTTTTCTTGTTTATTATATACTGATGAGACAAACAACGAAATCACTTAAATTTCAATGACCAATGAGCAAATGCTAGAAAACTAGTGAGTAAATAATTAAAAGCTTTTGAAAATATTTAATAAAGAATTACCAATACAACAATTAATATAATAACGGTTGTTGAATATATACTATTTGATCTTGACGTATCTTGGAATAAGGTTGTATAATAATAGGTTGTTGTTGTTGTCACTGTCATGGTGGTGGTTGTTGTTGTCGTCGTAATTGTTTCTATTATTGTAGTTGTCATTATCGAAGTGGAAATTGTTGTTGAACATGAATCTGTAGTTATTTAAATAGAAAAAAAGTTACAGCAATCGTTGTAGGATTGAAATGAGAAAATCGATATAACTATTTCTTTTTTTTTTTAACTTTATGAATATTGTTTTATTCGATGTATCTTCGGATCGGTTTTTTCAATATCTATTGCTTAATTCTTGACAATTACAAGAATAGAGTAGTTCAAATATTCGCATAATATTCAATAATATACAATCGCTTATTACAAGCTACAAATTTCTACTCTATGTAGATCGATACTTGTTCTATATCATTTTTCACAAAATCAAGAAACTATAATTGTTAAAAATATTTTCTACTTACCAAAGCTGTCAAGTATTTCAAATTTTTGAACTCGACTACTGAATGTATCACTAATATAAATAGATCCATAGCTATCAAATGCCAACGCAAACGGCAAACTTATCTGATCAGCTCCATTTCCAAAAATACCACTACAGGCCACTATACATTCACCAGTATTCGAATTTGGTGCCCATCGAATGATTCGGCTATCTCCTGCATTTGCTATATACATGTAGTCATTTGAGTCGACGACGATATCACGTGGATAGTATAATTGAGAGGAATTACTACCGCCTACTCCAGTGCCTGCTACTGTCACACCAGACAAAGCTCCATTATCCCATCTTTGGATTCGATGATTTTGTGAATCTGCAACGTATAATATTCCAAATACATCGACAAATATTCCACCGGGTCCACTTAGTTGTGTGGCGTTATCTCCCCCGATGCTATTTCCAGCAACTATCACACCAGGCATACCACTTGATGAGTTCGATGGATAACGAACCACTGTGTTATTAAAACTATCACTCACATACAAGTTTTCATTACCATCGACAAATATATAGTAGGCTTGGTTGATTGTTGATGGGTGTGGGTGTGTGTGATGAAAGAATAAATACCCACACCCACACCCACACTCACACCCACTCCTACACCCTACCCCCACACCCACACCCACACCCCACACCCACACCCACCCACACCCACACCATCGTTGGAAAAGTTGCCTTTTGCTAACACAATATTGAGGTTAAAGAGAGAAAGGAATCAAGTTTATACGTCCAAAATATTTTCCTTTTTGAAAAAACGGGAGCTGCAAATTGAAAGCTGCATGCTGGGTTCTATCCAAGGGGGAAAAAGTGAATTGTCGGATCCCGAGATCATAAGGATTGTACGGATCGCGGATAGGGATGCACCAGTTCCAGTTCAGAGTTGGAGGACTGAGCCCAGTCCAACTAGGTCCTCATGGGCTACTATTTGGAGGTACTCTTGGGTCCTTATATGCTATTATTTAGAGGTAACCTTAGGTCCTCATATGCTATTGTACAACTGTACGCTGCGGTTCTTATGTCTTTTAAAATCCCCGACAGAATATAAGTTCACCGTATAATAGAAGCCCATATGAAACAGAAGCCCAGTCCCAAGGTTGTTGCTTTCCAAACACATTAGAAACTCATCTGTCCCAAATGAGCACAGAACAGATACTTTCAGAAATTGATAAGCGAACTCATTGCTTCTCAGTATTTAATTATAGATTACTTTTATGTGTCTCAATTGGTTTGCTTTGTATACATTATCTATCAACAGAAAAATCACAAAAATTAGTGCCTTTCGAGTGTTGGAAAATATGTACCAACTCGTATTAATATAGCATAGTTGTCTTAGAAGTATTGAAAAGGTTTTACGTATGGAACAACACCGTTCGCTTAGGTCTTTTCTTGTGAAGAGATTATGTACAGCTCACAAACCAAATGATGCAAATTTATAATAATTCTTACGGCAATATGCATAAATCTTTCATCGAAAAATAAAGTTTCTGAAAAAACTGAAGTATAATTGATACCAATTATGCACGGGTTCATCACACTTGAATAACAATATCAGTGTGGAATCCTACGATACAAACTATTATAATACTCAGGAGTCTGACCTATCTATCTTTTCAGAATGGGAGATCCTTGCTTTATAGTCAACGGATCATTGCATATTTCTCTCGTAGTATGTAAAATACATTCTTTTCAGTGTCGGAACTGTGCGTAGGTTTCTACCATCCTTTGTACTTGTGTACTAATTAACTCTTAATGGCAGCGTGAAAAACAGCCATTGTAAAAGGAGTGCCTGCGCAAACTCACACATAACTTTCACAATAGAATAAAACCCCATTGAGTTCTTATTGTGGAGCGACGCGTAGCGGAAGGGTTAACAGAACATCAAGACCAAAAAGCACTTCCAAATAATGGCACATGATGAGCCAAGGGTGTCTCTAAATAATAGGACCTGAGGAGCTAATGGTATCTCTAAATAGTAGCATACGAGTACTCTAGGGTATCTCTGAATAGTAGCCCATGAGACCCAAGACGTATCCCAAGTATAGAGACTTGAGGACTCGAGTACTCTCCGGAGAAAAGATAGATGAGGACCCAGTCTACTGGAACTGGTGCACCCCTACTTCTTAGTTTTACATATATTCTCTGGATTGTAATCGTATCATCCGTATCGTATGTATCGTCATCGTATCGTACGTATTGCCACCGTATCCCCGATGCACGGAATCCGTTTTTTCCCCCTTGTTCCTATCGCATAATCTGCATTATTTCGTAGAGAAATCTGATAATTACGAAAAAAAAATATGACCGATAAGATTTAACTTTCTGTTTTCCTTTTCTTATTTGGAGTTGGGTGTGGGATGTGGCTGTGGCTGTGTGCGGGCGGGTGTCGGTGTGGTTGTGCGTGTGGGGCGTGGGTGTGGATGTGGATGTCAAGAAAATCAACACCCAAACGCATCCAGCCACATCTTCACCCCACACCCACGTCCACACCCACATCCATACCACACAGCCACACCTACACCCCACACCCACACCGTTTCAGGCACACAAACACAACACATAACCACTTTTATTTTATAAACTACCACCAAATCATTTTCCCACCCTTAAACACGTTGATTGTCCTCACACAAACAAGGAACAAGATAAGCAGGATAAGGATAAGGAGGATAAAGATGAAGATGAACACCATGACCAGGACCATAATAATAACCATAAAGACATGTTGCTCCATCACGACACTTAAAACGGTCGTAAACAGAATCATCGATCCAACGTTGTTGATCATTGGCTCCCCAATTCTTCCAATCCTGGATCCATTTCCAGCTTTTTCGATCGCCCGTATAGTACCAATCACGGCATTTGCCACAATTGACACAAGGATGACCCTTACAACGCAGTTCCTCGTACGTCCCAGGTGTGGCGAATTCTTGGTCTTCTAAATGAAAGCTGTCAACATTCTAAGTAATTTCAACACAAATTTGATAGTTTCTTCTCTATCAAGCAAGATTGACAATGATGGCTGAATTATTTATGATGAAAAATCAATGTTTCTATTCTGTCCTACAACCTCATACATGCTAATCTTGAAATCTATCTTCAAATATTGAATATCTCAGATATGTCGAATTCATAAATATAAAAACTCCACTTTTGTTTGCTGATATATGATCTTGTGGTACTCATCATAAGCTACTATGATAGACATATCTATATGTAGTGCTATTATCGTTGATTCTTATTAACAGTTCAAATAGTTCTACCTCATTTTATACTTTAATCTCGTAGTGATGGGATTGAAAGTAATTATTTTGATATTCTATAATTGACACTAAAGATGTATTGATGAGTTTACAAAAAACATTAAAATGTGCATTTCATGCATGGAATTTTCATTTTTTTTTAATCTGATGATCTCTCACTAGTTAACTTTTCATTATTTTGATTGCTAAGATTAGACCTAGATAAACCTTCAAGCTTCATAAACATCTGCAAAAAAATGCGGTCTTTTACTTGAAACTTAACGTTAGACACATTCTTTTTCTGAAAACTTTGCACATGTGGCTGTGTTCTTCTCTCATACATACTCTGATCATTGCCACGAAAAATGTGTCCAATGTGCCTTCTTTGAATCGTGTTATATAATCACGGAAAAATAGATCCGTCTACATCAATGACATTTCATTGGAAAGAAAAGAGATTGAGTAATGTGTGATAGGATCCTAGCTACAAGTCTACAATACTAAAATGCCATTAAAATTCGATGCCAAATGTGAGCTCTTCACTAGGATGGTTTTCGTTTAGAATCCACCTTAGAGCTCATGCCCACAAGCTTATCTCTAATTTAAAAACTTTTTTCAGCTGACCTCAATCAAATGAATATCTGTTAGCTTCGATTCTTTGCATATTCATATCCCTACTACTGAATCTTACACTAAGAATTCTCTACAGAAATATGCTGGATAGAATGAAAGAAACGCTTACTTTGGTTTGTCGCACTAGCCATCAGTGTGTATTCAATTGAAAAAATGGCGATAGCTTACATTCATCTTCACCATTATATTTATGTTGATTCTGCCATGATAACATTGTTACAACAGCTCGGAAGAACAGAAAAGAAAGCATGCACACATGAGTGTGAGACGGCAAAAAAAACCTACTCAAGGCGATGCAGCTAGCCAAATACTATCAAATAACATTGTTCTCACTGCTTTCAATAGTTTTTCTTCTAAACAGAATAGAAGAAAAGCGATAAGAAGCCCAACCCTGAGCATGTTGCCGTAATTAGACATGCACCGAGCCCGAACTTCCCGGGTCCGGTCATTCCCGGGTTCGGTCATTCCCGGGTTCGGTCATTCCCGGGTTCGGCCATTCCCG